GGTTGTCGAATTCAATACTAGATTCGATCTAAATCTGGATTTTTGTTTTGTTTCTCTAATAGTTTTTTTTTGCAGATCGAAGGAATATATCATGCACCTTCGACCAACTTCCTCATGGGGTCGAAAGGCATCTCTAGGCTCCTTTTTGATCCATGCCTGCATGCTACAATTTGCATAGTCTCCTGCACCATCCCGCCCTTTTGAATTTTTGTTTTGCGTTATTTCCTTTTATTTAATTATATTTACTCAGCAAAATATTTATATAAAAAAATCAAAAAAATCAGGTCTAGTCTTTTATAATTAAAATTAATTCTATTAACTAATTAATTAATTATTGTAACCTTTTCTTTAATTTAAAATCAATATACCTAGGATTTAATCAAATTTTATTTCATAATCAAAATAAAACACAAAAAAGATTTCCTTTTACCTTAGGATTTTTAGGCGTATTTTCAATTCGCGCGCTTATTTTAAATTTCGCTTTTTTATTATTAATGTACATGCTCATGGGTTGTAATAGAATAACTAGGACATTTACTGTTTTTATCTCCCCATTTTGGACTTGTAATAATCCCCTCCTCGAAGCTTTGTAATAGTGTAGGATTTATATTCCCGTATTTTATTTTTTGTACAATATTAACTGTTAGATGTATGGTAATAGGAATGTATGGCAAGAATAAAATAAAACGCTAGCAAATATAACAAAAAAGACAAAAAAATAATTGAATACAACACACTTGCACATATACACCTCTAGGATATTCCCACTTTGGTTGTCTTCGGAAAAACAGACACAACTCTCAAAACGTGAGAGATTTTAGTGACTACCCTCTGGTTTAAAGATCATATGTCCCTCGATGACCCTCTCGATGTTACCTCGATAAAAATGATCTTAAAACCCTAGGGTAGTTACTAAGGTTTCTTGCCCAATTGCTTTTGTGACTATAAATGTCCCTTCAAATGTCCCTCAAACATCCAAATGAATATGGCTACCTACTCACTAGTAGTAGGCTAGTCTTGTCTAAAGGAAAGGAGAAAAAGAGCGACCCTTTTGAGTAAAGTTAGATAGTTGTTATATGCTTGCTCAAACAAACTTTTTACACCTACACAAAAACATTTAAAAAACATTTACAAAAAAAATACTTTATCAACACCCTTGAGGACTGATACAAGGGTTATCATAAAGCGAATCGCTGGACTAAGGCATTTTCAAAAATACTTTTCAAAACACACACAAACAGCACAAGGTATTTTTCAAATGAGCTAAGTATCTAAGAGCCCGTAGATAACTACGGATGGAAAGGGTTCTAACACTTTCCCTTTCAATAATTTACCCCCTTACTCAGAAAACTCTCAAAAGATCTTTTTCTGTTCTTTTCACCCTTTCCTTTATTTGGATAAAAGAAAAGTTGGTGGCGACTCTTGCTTACCGCAACATTTGCAAACACAAACGCAAAAACAGTATTAAACAGTCGGTTTTGCCACTGTATCACAGCTCGCATAAACGCGATGTTGTTCAGATGCAGTTGGGAGGGAGCCACGCGCAAGTGCCTGAATACGTCCACCTCAAAATCAGAGAAAGGAAGGCGAAGACCCATCTCACAAAATATGATGTCATACATAGGAATCCATGTCTTGTCGTGTTTCAAGCAGATTCTTCTCTCTTTTGCGGGGATATATAGCGACCATTCTCCTTGGTTCCCCTCCTCGTGAGTGTACACATTTGTAAAAACATCCTCCCAGTGCTCATAGAAGTACGAAGGCCGGTCCCAGAGGTTGTTCGCGATCCAATCTCGAGGATCCTCCTCGTCCCCAGGAGGAAACAAGCAACCTTGACCGGAGGATGTCATCTCCATGTCGCCTTCCCTCGTTTTCTACTCCAACCAATTCTGCGCGTCCCCAGAAATCTCCAGGATGCTCGACGAGCTACTCGTCTTGTATGAGGAACTTCTCGAGGATTGTGTAGACTCGCTCGAGAGATCGACCGGGCGTTGTCATCCATAGCACCTGAAAAGAAGAGGAAAAATATGAGCTCGACATCAATACCAGAACCACCCTTCCACCGCTAATCAAGCGAAAAGGCGCTGAGAAACGAGGATCGTGTCCCCGACCATAACCCTCACTAAGACGCACCAATGGGAATGAGTCACAGGAAAAAGCCCTAAAGTCCTAAGAGGTCATCTATGACACGCCACGAAGTTCCCGGGAAGATCCCACGGCGGCTCTGGCGATTCTAAACTACAGAAACACCGTCTACCACCAACACTCCCCAGCGGCGTCCTCAAACAGAACCCTAAGCCCTAACCGCGTGCATCTCTAAAAAGTAAATGGCCAAAATACGAACTACAGAAAGCGAATGACAATGGAAAACTAAAAAATTACCAGTTAATAGAAGAAGAAAGGCTAGAAGTAGCAGTTGCGAGCGACAAAACTCAAGGAACAACGGTGGTTGACGGTCGAGTTAATACGAGTAGTTGAGAGAGGACGAAAAACATAAAAGACCCTATTTATCTCATATTTATAGTTAAAACCATCCATACGTGCGAGACACGCGCTTGGGAAACCCTAGGGTTGTCATCATTACTCCTTAGCCCCTAAGTCATCATTGCGCCGCTTCGCTGGCACACTTCCAAAAACACGATACCTCTCCAAATTCAAGGGTCCTAGCGACCAAATCCTCATCTCCTCGCGAGAAAGGCACAATAGGAAATGCTCACTTCCCCGTAAGACGCACCCCCATTCCACGAGCAGGTATTAAAGTCATCACTCTTGTACCCAGAAGAAACAACTTGGGAGGCTACTGTTCTGGACTGGCCTGACAGCTTAAATGGGCCCAGTCTAGACCTTTTCTTTGGTGCGGCCCGCACGTCCATAACCCGAACCGCCCGCTATCTGTCAGGCAATATCGACCATTTACCCTTCCAAGCCGGCACCGGCCTAGGATGATCGAAGAGCATCCTCTCAGCCTGCCCGACATCAACATCGTACAGGCCACTAGGAACCGACCAGAGAGACACGCCCGTAACCCCCCCCCCCTGGAACCAACGACTAGTTACGAGCACATCTGCCCGATTTGACCAAGTCTTGGCAGTTACGTGATTTCGCGGACCCGCATATCTAGGCGTGAAATCAGGAACCAATGGCCACGTGCCAGGGGCATTATATAAACCATCACACATGTGAGAGTCAGGTATCGAATATTCACTATTCACCACCTAATACTTTGCTTGTATCTCCTTGTTCCCACTCTTACTTGATCGTCAGAGTGCCTTGCAAATACAACCCCTTTTTTTCTGCTCAACATAACAGCCTGACTACAGATCATCTTCCTGCCACTTCACAAGTTCTGATCAACCAGTAAGATCAGTGATGGATACTATTGAGGGCTTCAGAGTCTTACTAAGGTTGTGATGGATATCCCGGAGGAATTCAAGGTCTTATAAGGTTCTAGTGGATACTCTGGAGGACTTCAAAGTTCTAATAAGATCTTGATGGATACCTTAGAGGGCTTCAAAGTCCTACTAAGATTCTGATAGATATATCTGAGAGTTTCATAATCCTACTAAAATTTTGATGAATATCTTGGAGGACTTCGCCTGTAGGATTAAGAGACCATGTAGGGTTCTTGTAGATACCTTGTAGGACTTTGAAGATGCAATTGAGTCTTGTATGTGGTCATAACACTGATTATTTTATTTTACTTTTATCCTCTTTTATTGCTCACTCATTAGCTTTAACCTTTTCGAGTGATAGCTCGGTTGCTTTTAACCATTGTGATTCACCAAATTTGTTTAATAAACTTGAAATCATAGAGAGAGAGAGAGAGATAAGACTCACGGTAAAATAGACTTTTTGGATCTCAGTATCGCATTGCCATCAGTTACCACCAACATTAGCATCATCGTCGTTGTCACTGGTAACAACATCTTATGGGTTGAACTTAAAGTCCAAGTCAATTTTATGGGGTTTCACGGTATACACCAAATGTACTAGTAAAAGTACACCAATGATAACCCTACTAGTGAGAACCAGTAAATCCACATTTGAATTCTCTAGTGAACTGTCTATCTTTGTTCTTCTTGCGCTCTTTCTTTAATATTGCAACTTTCATCTACCTTAAATGAAAGTTCATCAGAGGCAATTTAGTTGGATTGCTCCCGATTGATACGACCTCTTAATATTGGTTGGAAATTAGATTTGATTGTTCCAAACCCCAGATCAGGATATTCTCTGTCAATCATAAATGCATTCTCAATCATATATTAACCTACTTTAGACTTTGATCAACATAACCAATCTGACCCATTAATTATTTCTGTTCGGCCTTATTCTTCTGGATAGATCATTAAACGGGGCGAACTCCACTGAATTTGAGTTAACTCTGACCCATTTTAAAACTCGACCAAAGAGAACGAACATGTACACAATCTATCAAAAATAAATCGTGTAAGGGTGAAACCCCTATAAATACCAAGACATTTCCACACTTACAACTTCTCTCTAGCACTCTCATGCACCACATTATTAAAAACAATTTCTATAATACTACTACAATAAGCACACTGCACAACCAAACGCCATTTTACTCTTGTTTTAATAAGCCAAGAGCCTACCAAGCCTCGTAATCTTGATAGCCTCACTCTCCTCTGACATTTTTAATTTTCAGATCGTTTTCCAATATGAAATATCATCTTCACTTTAAAAATTGCATAAAATCTGATGTCCTCACCAGATCCCACACAAACATCCTTGCGATTTAATGTTCCTTGCCATTAACAGGATCCCCGCCACATCCCACACAAACATCCTTGTTCTTCAAGTATTTCAAAGAGACAATTCAAAATTAAATAATACTAGTTTATACTGAGAAATTTCATATAAAAAAAAACACTATAATATGTTTTTGGTATGACTAAAATAATTATTAAATCATCTTAGCTGTAGATGCACTAAAAATGAAAGTTACATTCATATATTATTACAAAACAAAGTAGTTACAATCACCTTTCTGATAGTGTTGCATCAAAATCATGTAAAGATCCTCTCCCACTAGTAAATTTCTTCATAGCATCCAATGATGGAGGAACACTACTAACCATAGCCGATGTCTTCTTTTCCCGGCCTTGTTTCCTTCCCTCGCAACTTCCCTTAGAAATCCAAACCAGAACCTTCTTTTCATCATTCGTTTTGGTTGAAACAACCTGCTGAACCTCTTTATGCAATTTCTTTTCCTTTTCCTTCATCTTCTTCTTCTTGCGGTTAACTTGACCGATGCACGAGACTTTAGGAGAAGTTGGTTCTTTTGGACTAAAACTAATTCCACGTTTCTGCTTTCTTCTAGCTTCCTTAGGGAATAATGAAACAACATGTGTCATAGGTGATCGACAAGGACTGAGAGTTGGATTCTGAAATGTTACTAATGATATAGACACGGGTTGTTTTGACATAAACCTCGAGATCGTGGTTTTGATTTTACGTAGTTTCTCCATCTAGAGATTATATGTTGTGTGATGCTGTTTTGAGACCAATGGTTTTGAAGAGTGATTAATGCTATATAAGGGTCATAAGAAGAGGTAGCTGAAAGGTATGGTTCATGATTAAGAACCAACTAATTAGGAACTTAAAGAAAGATAGTTGACATTGTTGATTGAGAAGTGGCGTGCTAATATAGTAGAGTGAGAGAAGAGAAATTGTATGATGAAATCAGCTTAAGTTGCCGGCATATTATAAAACAGTTTTTGAACTTGGATTTGTCATGGTTACATAGGTTGATGCGTCATTGTGACATTGAAATAGGCCATTTGTTAGGACACGGAAATCTAGGCTTAATTAAAACATGATTTATTCGTGTATTTTTTGAATGTGATGCCGTTGAATGAGAGAGGGTATGTTGAGATACGTTAAAGTATCACAATTATCAGTTCATAAAGTATATTCTCTGTTGCTTTTGTGCTGATTTATTTGTCTTTTTTAGAGCCTTGTGCCGCCAACATATTGAAATTTTGAAAGAATGAACACCTTGAAGTTTAAAACTAATGTTTTAAGAAAGGGATCAAACCACCATAAATCAACTCTTGTTTAATTGCAATTAGAAATTTTATAAATCAACTCTTGTTTAATTGCAATTAGAAAAAAAAATTTACTGATTCGATATCCAGTTCACTTTAAAATATTAGTATAAACTGTAAATGAGTTTTAAACTAAACTGAATTTGATTTGTTTTTTTTTAAGAAATACACTTGATTCATTGGTTAAGAAAAATAAAGCAATTTGTGTTGAAAAATAATGTGAATACTTAATAGAAGTCTAAAATAATTGTGTTCATTCTAAAAAAAGGTCATGTAAGTGAAAAGAATGAACAGGCAACAAAAATAAAAACAATGCAAAACACAACAATGACAGGAAAGTCGTTCATTGAACGTCTGTATCATAAACTTGATTTAGAGTAGTATTGTATACAATGTACCACCATAACATGGGCATATATTGGAACGAGAAAAAGTGTTCAACTACAAAAGTAAAATTTGAAATCATAGGATGTTATCAACGCAATCAAATCGTTTGTGTGATTAATACAAAGCAAACTAGTAGACATGGAACATCTTATTTTCCATTCCCAGCAGAGCTTCGAATCCCATCTAGCATCAATCTGTCTGCACATTCACACCGTCTTACATATTTGCCAATTAAGAGGCTTACATGATATAAGTAACTTTCTGTTAGGCCAAAGGGAGAGGGGGAATTGCGTAAACATTGATGCTACCATGCTACATATTACAAAAAACTCGCTGCATGAATATCACAAATTCATCATTACTTGTATAATGGCAGTCAAGCATATTCTTATGTATTATCATTGCAGCCATCTCCAGAAGTTGTCAGTTGTCACAAAGCAAAATCCAACACATTTGTTTTTTCAATATTGAATTTTAAATTATTGGACATTATGATACCCTTCTTACTTGGAATAACAGACTACATTTGCAAATCTATGTCAATACATTTCTGGCCAAAAGACCCTTCCCACATTTAAAATAGGCGAGGTAGGTGGCAAATTAAGAGAATTTTCAATCAACTTTCGTGTAGAGTAGAGAATTTTTGAACCCCGTATATTAAATGCTTCATTCATCCAAAAAGATAATATATTAGCAGAGTAATCTAACAGTTCACCTCATTGAGTGCCTTTATCATCCCTGTCATTCGTCTGTGGAGTGTACTGGCTGGTAGATGATGGTGAGTAACCAGGTTGGCTTGGTGAGTAACCAGTACTGGGACTGCAAGAAGTCAAACAGACAAATAACGAAAACAGATCATGCTCAGTTACATGTTTTTCATACCATTTAGCATTTCAAGAATCATCTATGAATAGGCATACCTAAATTGCGGCGAACTTGGGCTATAGTCTGGGCTTGTACCAGAATGATATGGGCTAGAGAAATGCATAAACATGAATAAGTAACAGAAAAATTATATTTGGGTAAGTTTTATCAGCAACTGAAAAGGAAGAATTTTATTTTAATACTGATATTAACATCGACACTAGATAAATTATGAAGTTCACTTACCTGCTGGGACTGTATGTTGGGCTCGATGGAGAATATGAAGGAGATGTTGGTGAGTATGATGGAAATGTTGGGCTGGAAAATTTAAAAATAAATAAATAAATTACTTGGCGTAAGAAAATCACCACGTGAAAAATGCAATTGAGATGAAAAGAGGCCTGATTATATTCAGACTCCGCCAACCAACAAGCTAATATTGAACAATAAGAAAAATCCAATGGAAAATAACTTTTACTGCATAATGTATCGATTCCTTTTCAAAATCAAGTAGTCGAATGAAAAGTGAAGGATATGAGTTTAATGTTTTTGGGATTTCTTTAAGCATTTACAGGTTCCATATATCACATCCGTGCTAAAAAAAACATAAATAACCCAGAGAATGACTCACCTGTAACTTGGAGACGTGTGACCATATGGACTTGAAGGAGACAATCTTGGACTGCTAGGAGAATATGCCAATGAAGGACTATATTTTGCAGACTGTGGATTGTAACTTGGGGAAGTAGGACTATAAGATGGCGATGTTGGGCTGTAAGAGGGTGATGTGGGGCTGTACCCAGGAGAGGTGGGACTGTAAGCAGGTGATGTAGGACTATATGATGGAGATGTTGGGCTGTAAGAGGGTGACGTGGGGCTATAGGAAGGCGATGTTGGACTATAGGAAGGTGATGTGGGACTATATGATGGAGAAGTAGGACTGTATGCAGGCGAAGTGGGGCTGTATGCTGGTGAAGTCGGGCTGTATGCAGGTGAAGTGGGACTGTAGCTGGGAGATGTAGGGCTGTAGCTGGGAGAAGTGGGGCTATAGCTGGGCGATGTGGGGCTGTAGCTGGGGGATGTGGGAGAGTAGGATGGACTTGTAGGTGAATATGCTGGGCTCGTAGGACTATATCCAGGAGAGCTAGGACTGTATGTTGGAGAGGTCGGGCTGTACCCGGGTGATGTTGGACTGTATCCAGGGGATGTGGGGCTGTACCCTGGTGAAGTAGGGCTGTATCCAGGTGATGATGGACTATAGCCTGGTGATGATGGACTGTAACCAGGAGATGAGGTAGGAGAAAATGCCATACCACCAACATATGGTGAAAACTGTGCATCGTTAGTAGGAGACAGACGGAGGTTTGGGCTCAGCAGATAACTTGGAGACATCATGCCTTCATGATATGGAGTAGCAGATATTGGGGAACGACCAGGTGTCATGCCAAAATCAAGACCTTCCATATAACTAGGTAGCTGGAGCTCAATAGCATTCTTTAGCATCTCATCATTAAGTAACAGGGCACACTCACCAGTGCCTATGGGGGCTAGTTGACCTAACATAATATTTTCAGTTACACCCCTCAAGTAATCAGTCTCAGCATATACTGCAGCATCAAGGAGAATATCAACAGTCTCTTCAAACGAGCACCTCATCATTGGGCCAGTTTCATTCCTGTTGATACCATGACGTGTAATTGCCATCAAATGTCCTCGATATGTCATGGTATCACAGAGAATAGCCAGATGCCTGTAGTTGACGTAAGACCCGTCAAATGAAATGACAACACGCAATTCATCCAGCAGAGACCGTCGAACTGCCTCAATACCAAGAACTTCAATAACTTCAATCAAGTGGTTGCTTGTGGTCCTTGTTGCATCAACATCTTCATGGCACATCACAGCTAAAAGGTTGACACCTTCGGTATCAAGCATCCATTCTTCATGAGGCTTAAAACCTTCATTCTCATCAAACTTCTGAATTTTTGTATTTTTAATAAAAACTTTGTTGATATCTGCAATACCTCGTAAGGTCATTTCAGTGAGCATGTTGCTCTCTATTTTTTTCAAGAAAACATCATCTTCAGCAGATTCATCTTGAATGTCTCCCTTGGGCGCTTCATCATTCATAATACGGATTCGAAGTATAAGTTTTTCAGCATTGTCATCATTAAATATGCATGTTAAATCATCTTCGAATTCACGATTGATCTTCTCAGCAATATCAGCCATACTCAACTTCTTATCCACCATCATTTCACGATTCAGTTCTATACGAAGTAACCACGGTGAGATTTTATCAAGAGCAACTTCTTCGTCGGGCATTTCGTAGTAAGACCTGACAAAATCAACATCCTCTTCTATGATTGTACCCATCGGATCCGGATCATACCACACCTCTGTGGCTTGAGTCACACTCCGGAGAGTGGTATATTCTAAAGCACACTGCACATTCTTGGCTTTCTCTTTAGTCTTACAAACCTCAGGTTTCAAATACACAGACAGAGAAGGTGTCTTAATTCTCTTGGCAACGTTAATAATTTCCCTTAACCTAGGAACACCAAGAGTAACATTCTTAGCACTGACACCAGCATAATGGAAAGTGTTGAGAGTCATCTGAGTAGCAGGTTCACCGATTGATTGTGCTGCCACACAACCAATCATTTCCCCAGAGGCCACAAGTGATTGCAGGAACCTTGCTTCTATTTCCCCTACTACCCATTCGAATGCCTCGCGAGAAAGCCTGTACTCCTCTAGGACCCTTTTACTGGCAAAAGTGCTACGAAGCAGAATATTGAACAGGAGAGTGGCATTTTTCTGAGCTTCTTGACTTAAAAGGTCATCCCCGGGAACTACTCTAAGTCGCTCCTGGAGCTTATCGATAGCTTCCACTATTTCCATTGGATGCATATCAGAAGGTCTTCGGAAGTCAACCTTAAAGGTCTTCTGAGCATTCCAGATAAGTCTCTTAAGATTGACAGGTAGTGGCAAAGAACTGTCACCAGTAGTAGCAATCTCAGTTGCAAGTTGAAACCTATCGGCATCAAGCTTTTGAACTTCCGCCTCAAACACATTACGAAACTCCCTAATTGTTTTCAAGTCTTCTACAGGCTCTTCAAGCATGTAAGTAGGTTTCCAATTTTCATCATCAAATTCATACCTAAAAGCCCTATCAAAATCTGTTTTTTTCATTTTCAGTGAATCCAGCTTCTGTGTTTCTATCCAAACAGCATCCATACCATCTTCGCCATAGAGAAATTGTATGACATCTCCCAAAGAATTCCTAACTGTCCCATCATATTTAACCATAATGTCTTCCATAGCCTTTACAAGCCGCCTCTGAATGTACCCAGTTTCTGATGTCTTAACTGCGGTATCAATAAGACCTTCCCTTCCTCCCATGGCATGAAAAAAGAACTCTTGAGGGGTCAGTCCACGGAGATATGAGTTCTCCACAAACCCACGACTTTCAGGCCCATAATCATCTTTTGTGAAGTGGGGCAGTGTTCGGTCTATGAACCCAAATGGAATTCGTTTACCCTCAACATTTTGCTGGCCCACACAAGCAGTCATCTGCGATATGTTGATGAAACTTCCCTTGGAACCAGCTGTGACCATAGCTTTCAGATTATTGCTCTCAGATAAACTTTTTTGGGCACTATTTCCAGCATCATCACGAGCTTTATTCAAAGTCTAGATATTATCAAATATCATGGTACATCAGACTCATCCAATAGAAATTTTCAATAAATATAACAGTGACAAGAAATCTAATGCAAGTACCTGGTTAACTCTATTTTCAAATGAATCCATCATTGTCCGACCAGGTTCAGCCTCCAACTTCTTTTCCTGAGCTTCCCGGATGAGTTGTTTCACTTTATCCTTAGCCTGTGAAATAGTCTGATTAATAGTCTCCATGGTCGAAGCATCAGCAATTGTATCACCAATTCCAATGCTAAAAGCCTGCTGTAAAAGCCAGTAGTTTACAAGCCACTGAGTATGGCCAAGAAATTTGCGAGCTGCATCAGGGCCAACCTCTTCCCTGTATTTAAGTACACATTCATCATTGGGAAGAACAGAGAAGAAAGGAGCTGATAATAACATTTATCACAGCCACTCACATTTGCAATTATTGTCATAAAGCCTTAAATAATAATAATAATAATAATAATAATAATAATAATAATAATAATAATAATAATAATAATAATAGTAATAATAATAATAATAATAATAATAATAATAATAATAATAATAATAATAATAATAATAATAATAATAATATGAAATTATTTATCTAACTCAGATAAGCGTTCAGAGTTCAAGTAAAAGGAATAAATTTCTCTATCGATTAGTAGAGATTGTAAAGGTAAATGAATCATGATAAAATTAAAATAACAATCTAATTCAGCTGATAATTTCAAGTAGAAATCTCCTTATAACTATTGATTGTGGGAGCTGTATACCAAATGACATGAATGAGACTTCCAGTGCCTGTTCCTAGTGTCTTTTTGCAAAGAGTACCAGTAAGAAGTTCCCCCTTTTCAATTCTGACCATCGTATCTCCAGGGGTTATAGGTCCCCTTTCAGACTCATTGTGCCAACTA